AGCTCGGGTCAGTCGGTCCTGGAGCGTTACCCAGAATCCTTCAGCTGGATGGAACTGTATGCAGACGATGTCTTCAACTTAACGACCACCGCTAAGATTAGCTGTGTAACCACAGCAGCTAATGTAGTCCATATAGCTAATAGTGCTAAGAGTTAGCCACCAAGCATCTCGATGTTCTGACCTCATCAGAGATCGTCGAGACGTCGAGACGTCGAGACGTCACGTCTGAAACAACAAAGAAAAGACGACAAATCAAAAAACACACCAAGGTGAAGGAGTGAGGAGATGAAGGAGGAGGAGGAGGAGGAGGAGGAGGAGGAGGAGCAGGTGCTACTGACAGCACCTTCATCTGTTCAATATGGTGTCGTCAGTGTGTGTGTGTGTGTGTGTGTGTGTGTGTGTGTGTTCTATTTAAAGAACTCTGTTTTTCCTGTTGTCTTTAAAACTCTGTCGTTTCAGTGAAAATGAACTGAATGAACACACACACACACACACACACACAGACACACACACACACACACACAGTATTTTACCACTGGTCCGGACCATGGGCTGTTCCAGAGACCCTCCTGGTCCAATGACCTTTAAATGATGGATGCGGCCCACTTTTCTAAAGGTGGGGAGCTTGTCTAGCATGTGGTCCACACTCTGGACCACCAACCGTGAGACCTGTATTTCACTGTTATGTGTGGGCTGAGTAAGTGGCCCACGTGGGTCATGAATCGAGCCCGAGCGGTCCGTGGAGGGAGTCGTTGTGAATGAGAAGACGGACTTTACGACTTTTACGACTTTACGTTCAGCTAGCGCCCACGGCGTCTGTTGCTGCGACTTCAGTAGAAGCTGTTTTAGCCTGATCTGTGTTTTATGAGGCTGTAACAGCGCCCTCCTCCAGGCCCGTCAGCAGAACAGCGGTTCCAGCGCCTCGCTCTCTGTCACATAAATACCAGCAACAAAAGCCTTAATTGGAGCCAGTTTGGGCCGCGAGAGCGAGAGTGCTGCTAATGACCTGGCCCACGTGGGCTGCTGTGACTGATCTTACTGCTGCTGTTTTAGAGCTTTCTGACGCAACGCTGCGAAAAACTGTCCTCCAGGGGTGAGACAGGTCTGAGAGGAAGAACCCAGTCAGCACTGTAAAAGTCAGAGCTGCCGGGAGGAGGAGGAGGAGGAGGAGGAGGAGGAGGAGGAGGAGGA